TTTTTTATTAGTGTTTGATAGCAATGCAGAATCAGTGTATGTTTGTGATGCAGAATAATCACTTTCATCTTGTGACATGGGCACATGTACATATCACATCTTAACCCTTTGAGAGGAAGCAAGAACATGGTGTGGAAATTATTCAACAGTGCACTCAGAGAGATCTGCTTTTTTCTACATTGCTGTCCAATACATGCTTATGCGTAACTAGTTACTACTACAGCAGTAGTAAACCAGTAGTGCAGGCATAACTGAGGAGATTTCAGACTCTTAAGTGATAAAGTTGCTATGAATACAGGGATTCTTTGCTGAATTTAACTTACAAGATTGTTTTAAAATATTTACTATTACTGCATTCTACATATTTTAAAAAATTTAGCAGCCTAATAATAAGACTTCCAGATTGTAGAAAATACATATGAGGCTATTTTGTGGGGGTTTTTTTCTTTATAAGAATGGCTTAGGGGTAAAACGTATGAAGTCTAGGCTGAAGCCTACTTCTCTTTGAGTAGCAGACTTGCCACTTGCTAGCCGCAGCACTTGGGGTGAAATTTCTCAACTTCTCTCTACCTGGTTTTCATGTGTAAAACTGTCCCAAAATACATCAATTTGAAAGGGTGCTGTAAGGAATAAACAAGGTATAAATGTCAATACCCTGACAAATGCTACGTCAGGGTCTGAATTATTCTCTTGTTATCATTACTATCTGCCCCAGCCATCCTCTGTTTCCTCATGTATTCGGAGACATGTCTTCCCGGATCGTTTTAGGTGCTGCTCACTGAAGGAGGGGGGCTGTTTCCTTGAGCTGGGCTGGCCTTGTGACTGGCTTTAGCCAGAGAGGGTGACACTGTTGCGTGGCTTGGGAGCAGGCCTCCCAGGGCTTGGCGCCTCTGCCTCGTCCTCCTGGAGCGCTGCTCTGACAAGGCAGCCTTGCTGGTGTAGCTGTCTGTGCCCACCCACAGCCAGCAAAATTTTGTTTTCTTAGACAGGTCTGACTGAAAAATAAAGTGAATATTTGCATTCTTAAAAGTAATTCTCGCAGTAAAAGACACATGGCTATTCATCCCCTCAAATGCTTGCCTTTGCTTCCAACACACTTAGCCCCTTGTTCATGGCACTTCTGAAGCAGTTTTGGAAGTTTTCTCTTTTGTCTGTCTTTAGTTTCACTGTTGTTGCAGCCTCAATGTTCTAAATAGACTCAAGACACACACCTTTCACTGTCACTGTAACTTTAGGGAAGAGCTAGAAGTTGTACAGTGCCAGATACAGAGAATAAGGTAGATGGGGATATATTGTAATATTTTTGTTTGACAGAAATTTCCATAAACGGTTCATTGATGAGGTGGGCTCAAAAATATGGTAAATCTTTAAATAAAAACAATTTATTTCAATAAAATACATACTGCTGTCAACTCCCCTCAGAATACTCCAAATACTCCTTTGAACATACTTACTGAGCCATTTATGGTAGTGTGTCTTTTATTGTCACAACTTTTTAATTTAAACACTCCCTGTAGCTTTTCTTTACTGCCTGTATACTAATAATTCCTACCCCTAACACAACTTTATAGGCTTGTGTCTACCTGCTCTTTCATTTTCTCGAACTACTTAAACTAGTTAGATTCTGAACTACTAACTTTTGAATCCAAAATGTTTTATTTTGATAATTCAAATGCTACAATTCCTTTGTGTACTTATACAGTGGTTTCTAAGCATTTATGTTTCACATACTTTCTTTGGTAAATTGCTTTCCTTTTGGTTATAATTATTATCCATGGTATACAGAGAATATTTATACAGTATTTTGATGTCAGGTGTTTAGTTACAAAGCAATACTCCTCAGCAGTATTTCAGCAGAGTAAGTGGTGTTACAAAGCATTGATGGTGAATTGGACATTTGAGGATGGACAGGGTCTGAACCAATATTATGACTAATAACCAATGTTTAGGTTATGGTAGGGATTGACATTTACCCTGGGTAAGAAGGGTCAGTGTAAAGTTTGGTAGAGGCGTGACATGATGTGGTCTATATTTTGGGGTATTACTTTAGCTAGCTGTTAAGAATGATTCTAGCTTTGACTACTGAAGTGATGTGGCTGATTGGGGAGTCCATTGCCACAATTTGGAGAAGAGATAATGATAACAGATGAGAAAATGCAAGTGGTCATGTTTGGAAAGTGGAGAATGGGCACAGGATTTTTTAATGATTGGATGTGGAGAGTGAGGGAAGGAGAGAAGTAAGAGTGGAGCTGCTAATTCCTGAGCTGGACTAGAGGAGGAGTAGATGAAGTTTGCAATTCTGAAAAAATTCCAATTCAATGACAGTAAATATACATTTAAAACCAGGCACAAAGTAAGCAATTTTTCTTTTGAGCTTCCACTTTCACTTCTTCCTATGGGGAGACTTTCTACAGACACCATCACTGAGAGAGAGCAGGCTCACGGGAGGGAGACAGGACACACCCTTTCAGGAGCAGAATGACGCAGTAAAGTGGTCTTTTTTGTTTTTTGGATGAGAAAACAGCAGCTTAGATCACAGAGAAAGATATCGACAAATTTCAAACTGGAACTCGTGGAGTCTGACTTTTGAGCCCTCCGATCTTTCTCACATACCTTTTCCAAAAACTGTCTCTCTGATGTTACTGAATTGCCTGAATTTAACTCATTTGCATATATAAAAGCCATTAACTACCAGATTCCTATAGCTGCCTCCCCCCAGCTTTCCCATTTTTCAAAAACAGTTTCCTTTTCACTGCCCGGACTCCACACCTCACCCTGTTCCCAAAGCCGAGACCATATAATTTGGGTTTTTTGTTACAACATCTTCCCATACCTTCCAAGTTGTGCATTGGTGTCTACAGCTGTGTAGCGCACACCCTGAAGCAATCTTCTCCAAACAACAGTCCACTCGCGATTCTATGGCTCAGCAGTGGGCCTAGCTCAACTGGGTTCCTCTCTGGGCTCACCTGGGGCCATCTATGTGACACCAGCAGGTAGTGCATTGGTGAGTGCTGTGCCTCATGGATGAGGCAGCTTGTCTTTGTTCAACATTTCTGCTCATCTTCCAGGAGACACCCAAGGTTTATTATGTGATGCAAAAGACTTCTTATGCACAAGAAGGCTCTTCTCATTATAGCATTTGAAAGACCCCATTTTGTGTTATGTTTGCTGGAAATAATCACTGTCTTATGTTGGATTTCCTAGAACCAGATCCTGAGATAAGAGTTTGAAGGAAAGGCATTTTGGGAAAGGATTCCAGTAAGCACTGGTAGGCAGGAAATAAAGTGAGACTTGTGAGCAGAGGAAGTCAATAATAGTGCATTTGGAGCAGGTTTTCGCTGTGGCCCATGGGGTTCCATCCCACCAGGGATGTGAGGGCAGTAGAGAACACACTTTGGGTTGTCCTGTCTGAAAGGCAGAGAGGGCCGTGCATTTTCTCTCTTTCCCTGTATCACTGGCTGCATGCCAGGGCGACATCCCCGGGCACTTCTGAGTGGCCCTGTACAAAGGTTGGAAGGAAGCCCTCATGTAGATGGAAGGAAGGAAGATTGGAAGATTGGAAGATTGGAGAAGAAAAGATTGGAAGGAAGCCCTCATGTAGCCCTCATTTCGATGCCAGAAACGTGTACTGGAGCAGGGCGTCAGCAGGCTGTGACTCCTGCACCCACGGTGACTAATGGGGCCAGTAAGATCCCACTGTATTCTGAGCCCTTCGCTCAGGATTATCACACACTTGATTGTTTCTGTTATGCACTTTACCGATGCCTTTTCGTTTTTGTCTAGTTTATAAGGAGAAGCTGAGGGCTTAGTGCAGTAAACCTCTGTTCCCAAAGGCATGGGCTCAGAGCCCAAGCTGTCTTCAGCACGGAGGTTTTGCTGCTTTCTATCCCATGATATTTGAGACTTTGAATCCTCATTGTCTTTCCCTGGCTCTGTAAGAATAGTTTCCTTATAGCTGGAACCTCAGTCACGTGTTCACCGGACTGTCCTCTCCCTTCAGTGGATGAGTTGTCACCTGACAATTAGATGATTCTCGACCGGAGGACTCGGGACGTCTAGCAGAGTCCGTTAGAAAATGTGAGCTAGTGTGAAACTGAGTCACAATTCTACCAAGTACTCCTTATTTCAAAGAGGGGTCCATTTTAAACATAAAGGGTAAAATGATACATAAGTATCATTTCTGGGAAGAGTACCAATCATTAGGTAATTGATTTAATTAAAATGGTTTTCTTAAATTTATATAATAAAGCAATAGCAAGTAGAGACTATGGCCAAGAATTGGAATCCTCAAGTCATTTGCTGCTTTTAAAATTTATTTTGTTCATCTGGTACATGTTTATTAGATATTGGAAGACATATATTTGGATGACTTTTGGACACCCTATCTTTGCGAATACTTACACAAACCTTTCCCGACCGCCATCGGTAAATCAGACCCTGCTATTCAGTGGTTTCCTAACCCTGACTACTGCTGTGGCCTCCTTCTTGTCTCCCAGTACCAAGCCTTGCCGCCCATCCCATCAGCCCATATCCGCTGCACTGACTCTCCTCACACAGACCTCTGATCATGGCTTTTCTTCTCAAACCCTTCAGTGATTCTCCCTTGCTGTTACAAAGCATGCATCTCAGGCTACAGCTGTAATTCGGGAGAGAAAATCAGAAAACTGAGCTACATTTGGGGCAGTGGGGATATAGCAGGAAACAGTGGCTTCAGCCGGACAAACTGCAGGGAGAAAGCCAGCAGGCCCGGGTTACTTCAAGCCCGTACTTATCTTCTCTGACCGTGATGAGAAGCAGGGAAAGGAGGTGAATTTTAATGCACGTTTGGCTTTAATAATCCAGGCTATTTTTGCCCTCTGTGCTTCCAAGAACTCAGCATAAAATTATACTCAAAGTCCACAGCAGCTAGCTCAGAGAGATATCAAAGGAACAAACAAAACTGAGATCTTTATGGAGCTCTTCCCCAGACTCGCTGACCCTGTCTCTCTCTGTTCTTCTAGTACCTACAGCTACGCTTCAACAAAGCAGTTCGCTACACAGCGACCCTCATCTATATTGTGCAGACGGTAAGCGAAGGCGGAAACGGGCTACAGACACAGTCAGAGTTTTGTCTATCTGGGGCCAATTAACCCAATTTAAGGGCAGACTTGGTACTAAGAAGCCCTTGCTTTCTTCCTCAGGGCACACTGTTAAGACATAATCGCCTCGAGAGGCGTGTGCATTGCACAGACTCCGTATCTCTAGACGAGTAACAAACAAATGAACATTATCAGCTATAAAGCGAAAGTTGTTTTCTTCACATTTACTTCTTTCATGTTTAACCTGTACAAAATTTAGATGTGGGGTGGTCTGGTAACCGATTTAAAAAAAATTGTTGAAGAGAGTTGAACCAGAAATGCTTTTTTTCCCCCCCGAAAGTCTCTTTAAGACGATATTTCCAACCAGTACCCTACTTCCCTCTTCCGGGACTCCTTTTGCACCCCCTAGGCTTTGGGTCCTTCGTGCCACCCACCACCGGGGGGCGTCCCGCTACGCACCAGGGGCTTTCTGCTAGCAGAGAACCTCCTCTCTCTTAACTGAAACTCCCACCCAGTGCCTGAGGACTTGAGCAAGAGGAAAGCAACGTCTCTTTCCCTGCCCATAGGTATTAGCCCTTTGAAGCCCCACCATGCATCTTTACATGGTGGAAGTGCATTTAAAATAAAACTGCAAGGGGGCCCATTGCCAGCGAGGGGGCAGCTGCAGTTTTGTGAACTGACGGGTGAGTTACGTAGGAAACCCTTGTGACAAGTCGTCCCTGTGCAGTTCTTTCTTGTCACCGATTTTTTCCATCTCAACTCTGTATTCCATAGTCCAACAAATTGCTGAGATGTGCTTTCGGTCTTCAGTAGTGCCTCCCCTGAAGTCAGCAGGGGGCCCGCTGGGATGTGTGTGGAGAGGAAGGGGTAGAGGAAGGGCAAAGAAAAACTCAGGTTAAAATCTATGCATCTGTTAGAAACATGCCCAATATAACCACAGCATCTCAAAATGGACAACACTGTTCCAAATCTAACCCTCTTCCTCAACCTGATGGTCTCCACATCTCTTGTCTGACTTCCTGTTGTTCCAGTGGGGGATGGTTTCAGAGTGGCTGAGAATGAAAACCTTGGTGAGCAAGTGGAAGGAAATATATCTCTAAGGTTCATAAAGAACTTTCCAGGCGATTTCCCCTTCCATGTCATGTTTGCTGACTGTCCACTGAATCCTTATTTCCCACCAGATTCTTTACACGGGAGTGGTGGTGTATGCACCGGCCCTCGCACTCAATCAAGGTGAGCTCCTGGTGCCCCCTGGACACACTTCATCGTCTCTATGCCTGATCTCATCCTAGGGAAATGCACTTACACCACCTTGTCAGGGAGGCGACCCAATCAATGGTTAGGGTGACTGACTTACTACAGTGGTCACCACAAAAATCTCTACATTTAAACTTTGAAAACAACACAAAGAATTAGTTACTTGATTTTATCTCAAAACTGGGTGGTTCTAAACACCTGGTTTGATTAACTTTTTTTTTTTCATTTGGGTTTTTTGTTTCATTGAAATGGTGGTGGCTTTCGTACCATATCAGCACAACCACTATGTAAAGTCAGCTAAATATATGCACCTTTTACCTTTTCTCAGTGGCTTCATGAAGTAGCTAACCTGAATGCAAGAGTAAAAGTTGCTTATTGTAATTACATAAAAATGTACAGTTGACCCTTTCAAGAGACTAGAATCCTAGAAACAAAACTGAAAGAAAAAAAGGAAAAGAAGTTTCCTTCTTTGTTTTTTTTTTGTGGTACCAGTGATTGAACCCAGGTCCTTGCGCTTACAAGGGAGGCAGTGGAACCACTGAGCTAGGAAAAGAAATTTCACAATTACATCTGCCATATTGAAAACCCCTAATATTCAATTTAATTGGACTATGTGCTTATCTTGAAAAGTATTAATTTCCCATTCATGGTGGTTTCTGGTTATTCAGACTAACTTTGTGACCAAAAAAGAACAAAAACCAAAAAAACATCTGAACCAAAGATGGAAATTACGGAATCTTAGGAGAAAAAAAAAAATTGACAGAACAACTGCCTCGAGGCATAAAAAAGTAATCATCTTTTTCCACGGTGATAAAATTTAATGAGGAAAAAAGAATTTGATTTCCCTGAAGCCACAAGAACACTGACACACATATTGCGACTTTTCTGCACAAAGCTTGCTCCATCCCTCTGCTCAGGGAAACCCCTCTCATGTTCTTCTCCTTTGCCAGTGACTGGCTTTGACCTGTGGGGTTCTGTGTTTGCCACGGGGATCGTGTGCACTTTCTACTGCACCCTGGTACGTACCTAGCTGGAGAAACACTGAGCGATGCTTCCTAATACGGGTAAGACGAACCTCCTGCAAGGACGCATCTAATTATAGCAGAAACTGCCTTTCCAAAATTAAACAGAGGTATGTCAGCTGATCTGTTGGTCTCCCGGGGAAGAATTGTTCCATTTGAAATTCTTTTCTGCACAGCAGCTTTGAGAGTCTGGGCACTGAGCACATTAATGAAAGTCACACTATTGAGAAAAGATTTGATGAGAGAAATAACTCCCTGATCAGACGACAGTGACCCCATGACATTTCTGAGAAATCAGTCTGCTGCCCACATGTATTATAAATGCTAAGTAGAATTTATACTGCACTGTCCACTAGGTGAGATAGAAAATGTGTGTATGAGTTAGCAAGGGTGGTCAGTACTTTATCAATTTAAGGATTTCACAGCTATTTTGTCTCCTATTTATAGATCAGCCTCAATCACATTTAACATTTAGCTCTGTACAATGCTCAGTTTTCAATAAAGGGAGCTGAGTGTATTGGCAAGATGTTTATATAATTGTTAAAATTAGTTTATCTCAACAAAGAGTCATCAAATATCTATTGTTTGCCCTTGTCCGGCATCTGGAATCCTTTCTGGGTTTTTTTTAAAGAGAAATTTAAGAGACAGGACATATGAAAATGACATACTGTGGCACGAGTTGTTTTTAATTTGTTGTGCTGTTACTGAAGTAAAGTTCTGAGAGCTGCAGTTAAAATATTCCAAGGTGTCCCTCCCATCTTTATTGATTTGCAGGATTCTGCCCAGAAAACTCTTTGGGGACTAGAGCAGTAGCACTTGCATCTCACTATTTCCAAGACTTCAAGTTCAAGTATGCATTATTTCTTTTAAATCCCTGTATGTAACTCAAATCAGGAACCTTTTTTTTTTTTTTAAATAAACAGTTTGCTTTTTAAACTGCAACTAGAATCCTTACTCTTCTGAATCATTACACCATGTTCTGGCTATAATGAACCTGTTAGGGACATGGGAAAGCTGGCAGGACAGTTGGAATCTCTTTCCTCCCCTGCAAGAAAAAAGCAAAAACTATTGACATTATCATAGAGCAGACTATCCATGTATTGTGGCATTATGTACATACTACATACCCTTTGCAGTATGTATCATGTGAATACACAATTTTAAAACGTCCTTATCTTTCATTTTTATACTTTCAAATGCCACCATTTTGCCATATCAAGTTTTGTCTTCATCTTCCATTCCATTATTATGATATGGTTCTCACAGATCTCTTCCCACTGTGGTCCTTTTTCCACCATGAGTCTGTGTGATGAGTTACTCTGAGGCACCTGCCTGTGGAAGAAAAAATTGAATGTTGGATGTCACGACTTTTTGATGCATTGTCTGGATATGATAGCCCCCCAAAGGAAATCTTTTTCCAAAAAATACAGTAACAAAATAATATAGCCAAATAATTTAAATAATAGCGCAAGTAATTTAAATGGATTATCAGGGCTGATATCTGGAAGAAGTGAGCAGGCAGAAAGAATGGGATTGATGAGAACATTGCTACTCCTGAGGCAGTGTAGCCTGGGAGAGTTTGGCAGTATTTCAGTAAGTTGAGGTCGCTGAGAGGAGCCCCAGTGTTGTAGGTCGGTGACACACTGTGGCTCTTGTGAAAAAAGGTGCAAATTCCCTCTGAAGGACAGAATGGAAGATCCAACTTACAACTGATTGGAGTCTTCGAGGAGAAGCAAACAGCAAGAATGCAGGAAACATCGTATTTCCAAAAAGTATAGCTTGAAATTCTTCAGAACTGAAAAAAAATAAGAATCCACAGAATTGCAAAACACAACTTTAAAATATATAGAAGAGTCAGAGAGGTGATGGAGGCCCCTACAAAGGGGCATGATAGGCAGACTTTTAGTACCAACAACAGAAGCCAGAGAAAATAGAATATTATCTTCAAAACATGGAGAAAAAACAACTTCCAACCTATAATTTCTCAACAAAACTATCTTTCAAGAATTAAAGGTTAACAGCCAAGAGAATTTAGCAGCAACAAATATTCCCCCAACATAAGTCTAGAGAAACTACCTTGGTTTCATCTCTCCTCTCTAGAGCCAGACCAGAGACTTCAGTGTCTCACCAAAATGGCAGCCTATGTATCCATCTCACCAAAATGGCAGCCTATTTATCCAATGCCTGCATTCATGCTGCAGTCTCTTTACTCCAAAAATCTGGTGGGTGCATAGCATGTGGGGAAAACCAGTGGAAGACGTTAAAAGGTAACCAATTCTTGCCATTCAAAGTGTACAATAAAATAAGGTGAATGGTGAACCCCAAACAACACAGATTGGTGAAATATGTAACAGGAGAGTAGGTCTTGCTATGTGAAAATCAAAGAATTTATGGTGACTCTAATATGATTTCTGATGAATACTTGGTAAAGTGGTTTATTTTCTTGCATGTCAAGTAGATGTTTAGCTTTAAACAGATTTTCCTGTGACAAATGTCAAGCAGTCTCTGACAACTGAAGCTTTTGATAGCTGGTTTTCATATCACTAAAGTCTGAGATTGAGATTTGGGTTTGGAAGTCTTGCCATCTTTAAGGGAACTCAAGATAGTGCCATCTAAGAGGTGGGAGGGAAGACATTTATTGTTCCCAAAATATGATTTGAACAAAATATATAAATGCAATGCTTTTAGCAGGACTTTAATATGTAGTTTTAAACTAAATTTTAATTGCAAAAAAGGTTGGGACAACCCAATGTCTTCCCTCTTCCCCAGCTAAAGATAAAGCTTGTCATCTTTTCACAGAAGCTCTTGACACTTTGGAGGAGTAACGGGGGATGGTAATTCTATTTTTCAATGTTAAAAATATCACATCTTCCATTTGCCTAGTGCTTCTGAGCTTTCAAAATGCGTTTTTTTTATACGTCACTTCATTTAATCTTTCCCTATTTGGTTATCCCGCCCTCGCTATGTCCCTCAGGGCTTCTATCCATGGAACAACATTGCAGTCTCTCTTCCTCCGTCCTTCTCCTGGTCAACATGTTCTCCACTAGAATTCTGCACTGGGGAAACATTTTGGGAGAGCAATTGATTTAGAATCCCCAGGGATGGGATTTGGACATTGCTTAGTTTTCTTTTAACTTCCTCAGGTGGCTCTAATGAGAAGCCAGATTTGACAACCACTGCTCTGACCTCTTCCCTAATCTCTCTATCCTGAGTTCTACTATTATCTTCATATCCAGGAAACTGGTTTCTTCACCCCACTATTTGATCACCCTGTACCTCAAAAACTCCTTCCTCATAAATCTGTAATCTAACATTCCTTCCTAGTTTTTCCTTCTTTCTCAGTTTGCTGTCATCTCTGTTTCCCAAAGTGTATTCACTGTCACTTGTTTCATTTAAAATATCTGTATTTTACAAGCTATAGCCAGGTGCTTGTCCTTAATTCTCTTACTTCTGCATCATCTATGTTAGCTGAATTGCAAGCCTTGGTGATTTTTATCACTCAAATGTCTTTCAAATGCATCAGATTCCCTGTATCTCTGCCCTACTTCAAACTTCCCATCATCATGGGCACAAGCTACTGAAATAAACTCAACTGGTCTCTTGACTCCTTTTCTTCTGCAATTTGAAATTCATTATCCACACAACCACCAATCAAACTCCTGTGAAACGAACCACAAAACCTCTCATTATATAACTCTCTTTACTATTCTCTCCTTGCTTTTGAGAAATCATGTCAGTAGCCTTGTCACAATCTGTCTGCTCTGGCCTCTAACAAGTTCAGCCACCTCCTCTCTGGGTTTGTCACACCTTGGATCTGTACATTATATTCCAACTTTCTTTCATTTCCTCAGGGACTCTTACTCTGTATGGGTCTGATCTTGTCTTTTCCTCAATATGTTATAGATTTCTGCTTATTCTTTAGTTTAGCTTAATACTCGTGTTCTCAAAACCAGGCTGAGATGTCTTATTGTATGCTTCCCTAGTCACCTGTCCTCCATGGCACTTTTCACAAAATAGCTTAATCTAGCTTCATGTTAATAGCTACCTTGCTATCTGTAATCTGCTTCTTTCATTAGATTGTGAGTTCTACTAACTTAAGGAAGAGGCCTTTTTTGCTTACCACTTTATTCTCATATTTAACATAGAAGATAAAGCAAGTTAAAGATGGCCTGTAACTGTTACTGAATTAATGGATGCGCGGTTACAGCTAGGAAATCTGTTCAACTATGAAATGTTTGCAGTCGTCAATCTCAAACATGCATATGATTCTCTTCATTTTAGGGAGGATTAAAAGCAGTGGTGTGGACAGATGCCTTTCAGATGATGGTCATGATTGTGGGCTTCTTAACAGTTCTCATTCAAGGATCCATTAAAGCTGGTGGATTCCACAATGTGTTAGAGCAAGCAGCAAATGGATCCCGACTACATATAGTTGAGTACGTCCAATGCTACTTTTTACACTTTATGAAGATTTAAAATATATGTTCTCATCAACTAAAATAACATCTGGGCTTCAAAGGGACATCTGTGCTTTCTCTTTCTCATAGTTTCGATGTAGATCCTCTCCGGAGGCATACTTTTTGGACCATCTCTGTTGGAGGAACTTTTACATGGCTTGGCATCTATGGAGTTAATCAATCAACCATCCAGAGGTGCATCTCTTGCAAAACAGAAAAGCATGCTAAGCTGTAAGTTACGGATCAAGAAAAAGTTTTGTTTTCTTTACCTTATTGAGTTTTTACTATCTGCTTCCTGTGGATGTACATGTATACAAAACAGAAAGAAATGGGAAGATTTATTTAACCCTTTCAACAATTTTTTGAGTTAAGCAATACTAATTCCATTTCCGCAAGGGACTAGCAGAGCTGGGTTTGAACTGAGGTCTGCCTACTGTAGCTGTCATTTACTTGCTTCCTCTATTTACTGCAAAATCACTAGGCTAAATTCAGTGCTATGGCTTATGATTCAGAGATAAATATGGTTTTGCTCAAAGTTTCCGTGATGAGATGCACCTAGTTTCTAGCTGGTCCAATTATTATTTTTTGATATGTTAAAAGGTAAACAGGCATAATACAATTTTAAAGTGTTTATTTGAGCAAACTGTGATCACAAATTTGGGAATTTCAAACTCAAATTATTCTGGAGGCTCTACTCAGGAAATACAACAGGAGGCTTTTGCAGAATGAGCATGGAAGTTATGTTAGCTTTTCTGCTTTTCCATCATTGAACACAATACTCAACACCCACCCTTTAAAGGAGGAGAGGGTTTGCCTTGTGGTATTAGGGGATTTGGTTGCTGGTTGACTGAATCCAAGGTGGAAACATCATGGCAGGAAAGGGAAAGCATAGCAAAGATCTTAGTTCCTGTCTGAGAGGATTCAGAGACAGGCAAGGCTCCCAGATGTAACAGTCCCCCAAGTCACACCTCCATGACCCACCCAGACATGTCAGAAGGGTGCTTTACTAATCCCGTGGGCCACTTCCAAGCTGGACAAATTGACACAACTAAGCTAACCCACCACCTTTTACCCCTGTCAACTTAAAACCCAAACACATCTTTTTGAACCATACTTGATGTCTAAATTAAGACAGTAACAAGTTTGCAATTTTGCCTAACATGCTATGTCTACCCTCGTACAATCAAAAATGTAACAATCCCTTTTCCAAAGTCTCAGCAATTTTAACATTTTTTAATTCATTAAGTTTATTGATACATTTGAAATCAGTATGGAGATATCTCAAAAATCTAGCGAGCTATTTGACCCAGCTATTCCCCTGCTGAGTATCTTCCCAAAAGAAGTAAAAGAATCATACCACAGCAATATATGTGCACCCATGTTTATAGCAGCACGGTTTGTAATAGCTAAAACTTGGAAACAGCCCAAATGCCCATCAACTGGTGACTGGATAATTTTAACATTTTCTAAAAGTTGGAGCCAAAGTCTTTTCTGAAACTAAAGGCAGGCTCTTAATTGTGAACTTCCGTAAAATTACAAAAGAAAGTTATATAACTCCAAGGTACAATGGTACAATGGCACAGGGTAAACATTTCCTTTTTTTTGGTTTGGGGGATCAAACTTGGGTCCTTGCACTTATGAGACAGGTGACAGAACCACTGAGCTAAATCCCCAGCCCAACATTTCCAGTTTTAAAGGAAGGAATAAGCAGATAGGAAAGAATCAGACCACAGCAACGCTGAAATGTAACAGGGCCAACATTAAATCTTGTAGCTCCACCTCTCGCATCTGAGACACAATAGTGGAAACATATGAGTTTTAGAGGGCTGGGGTTGCCTCGACCTGTGGCCTTGTTAGGCCCACCTGTGCCCGGTAGCTTTGTTTGGCAAATGTTTTATATTTCTGATATTTTTACTTTGTGGGGTTTCTGCTATGCCTTTGGGTTTATTTTTACAGCTTCATCCTTTCCCTCTCAGAGGCTGTTTGCCTGGACTGTCAGACCTTAATTTGAAGCTTGGGTGGAAGCCTTCCTGAGCTGACAACTCGTGCACTTCCCACGCTGGTGCAGTTGGCCTGGTGTGGACAATGGCAAGGTCTGCTATTGGTGGGAGCAGGAGCTGGGCCGTGATGTGGTGGTCTCTGAATCCCACAGTGGCTGAGCGCAGTGAAGTGAATCCTGGGGGCACAGTATTTTTTCTGGGTGGCTTTTGTCAAGCAGGGGCCCAGAGGCTCTCTTTTCAAATGAGAGTTTGACACTTCTGCACCTTTTATTTAGCCTTTGGTGAGTACGGTTTTATTGATTGCTGAGATGACCTCAAGGGTATTTTTTTTTTGGTCCCTCTACAAAGAACTTGATTACCTTTTAAGGAACTAGTTTCTTTAGCAGCCACACCTCTTTTAGTCCCAACTTTATATGTGTTTCATCTGAGCAAAAATTTAAGCTTTAAAATTCTTTTTCTCTCTTTTTTGTCCTTGATTCTTACCATAAATTTCTCTGAAAACAGCCAACACTATCTATGACAGAACTTAAATTGAAATGTCTTAAAATTTCCCCTGCCAGATCTATTGGTCCATAATCCTTAACTCAGCCTCTCAGTACTAGGACATGGACAAAGTGTACAGAGATTTTTTTTTTTTTGCCAGAGTGCAACATGCATGGCTTCTAGTCCACTTACCAATATTGTCTTGTTCCCAGTTAACTCCTAATCGTGGCCTTTACTGTCCACATTCTTATCAGCAAACTGATTTTCTAAGCTCTGACATGAATCCCCAGCAGGCTCTGCTCATAGCATTCTGAGACTATGCAGCGCACTTCAGACTTGATCTAACTCCTCCCTCAAACCATTTCCAAAGACTTCTAAACCACATGGCTAAGCACAACCCCAGAAGCAACCCCACACTTAGCATGAATTTTTATATTATAAAAATTACCCTCTCTAGGACACAATATCCAACAGCCACAACTTAAAGTATGAGACATTTGATTTGAGAGAGGATTCAGTCTGTGGTTGGATGGACCCAGGGCAGAAACATGATGATAGAAGAGTGTGGTGGAACAAAGATGTCATGCTGGCAGTGAAGCAGAGTAGGGGAATGGTGCCAGAGAGGAAAGGCTCAGAGACCATATGTACCCTAGGTTACACCTACGTGACTCACCTAGACACATGCAGAATTGTGCTGTACACTCAGGTCACTCCCAGGTCAATCAAGTTGACTTAAATAAGCTTCACACCTGAAAGTAGAGCTATAGTATTTGGCTACAGTTATGCAGCTTCCCTGCCCTATTTGGTCTATTCTCTAAGAAAGTTTCTTATTCTATAACCATTGGTTGATAATTTCTGAATGGTTAGTCATGGTTTTATTTTTCCTTCATGTAAGCATTTGCAAGAAATAACTCAAGTTGAGCTTCACTTATGTTTGTCTGTCAAGCAAGATTAACCTTTCTTATGAATCCTCACCAGCTTTGTCTGCTCAGGGATTCTGCAGCTCTGGTCTCCATTTTTGTTTTATTTTTTTTATTTTTATTTTTATTTATTTTTTGGTCTCCATTCTAATTTACTTTTCCCCTTAATGTTTCAAGGGATAGGTTAAAAAAGAATGAAACCCAAGATATAATAGGGCTGTGCCTGCCTCTACTATTCCGAAGCCTGCTGAGGCTGCCTCTCCCAAGTGCCACAGGCCATCCCACGCATTGCAATGGGGACCACAAGTCATTCTGTAGCCATTCACAAAACTGACAGAAGAAGCAAAGCTGTACCTGAGGTGATGTTTGGTCCCCAGTGCAGCTGCCCAGGGCCCAGACTCCCACTCTTAGGGAGAACACCCTAGACTCTTCCTGGAGAAAGAGTCTCCATGCATCATCCCCAACATGATTTTAAAATATTTCCAACGTGTAATTTCTTATTTTCACTGAACAAAACATAAAATTCCCTGGAAATGATCAGAGCACTTTGCAAGTTGAGTACCAAAAGGAGGAAGGTAGTGCTGCAGTTTGTATATTTCAGAACTCAGAGGAAGTGAGTAGATTATTTATCATTCAGTCAACTCACTGTGGACATAGTCAATTCCTGATACAATCAGTGATATCGTAACAAACCCTCCACTCACATGAACATCACTTGACAAACAACAGTGGTACTGAAAATGCATGTGACTTGGATCTTAAAGTTCATTTAAAATTAAATTCATTTAAAATGTGGCTTTAAGAAAAACTGGAGTTGAATATATCTATAAAGAGAATATTCTGATGAAATAACTTCTCTGTTGAATCTAGGGGGTGTGATCATTTATTTTTTCTTATTTATTTTTGAGATAGGATCTTTCTAGGTTCCCAGGTTGATTTGAAACTTCTGGGCTCAAAGAATCTTCCCCCATCAGCCTCCCCTGCACCTGAGACTATGGATGTGTGTCACTGTGCCCAGCTAGTAAACCCAGTTTTATTTTAATCTTATTAATTTACATTAATTTTTCTGGTAAATAGGTTTCCCCTAGTAATACATTAGTGTCTGAAAGGTCAGAATCATGTCTTTTTTTATCCTCTTCTTTTTCACAATGTCAAGAATAATGTGTTGTGCCTCTTCAGTATTTATTGCTCACTTACAAAACAGAATGATGCTTTAAGGAGGTCATGCTTGCGTGTCCATCCACAAACAGACACACGTGATTAAGGAGGAGTGTGTGTGTGTGTGTGCGTGTGTGTGCATATACATATTCTTCTGCATAAATCTCAAAGTGTTATTATATGGGTTAATTTACTTTAGGCAAAAAACATCACTGCAAAGTCATCAGATGCTCGCAGTTTGCAAATTGATATATTAGTAATTAGTGGGTATGAAAATTGGCAGAAAAGGAGAGATACTCGTGAAGACCAAAATGTACACATTTTTCTAGGCATTTAGGACTACTACTGCAGGTTCCAGCCACCCCCATTCTTCTGTCAGGGTCAGAGCTGTGATTGAAATGTTTGGAGAGTGAGAAAAGATAAAATATAAACACTCTTTAGAAAGGTTTCCCGGAGAGATGTAAGGGGACTTAATCAACCCAATGCAAGGGAGAAAATGGTCAGTACAGTTAAGTGCTCCTGCTGTCCTAGTGGTGAAATAGTGTGAGATTTGTTTATCACGAAACTGCAGCCTCAAAGATGCTCCCAGGACAGCTGGAGGCCACTCTGAGTCTGCTGTAGACTCTCACCTAGCAGATTCTGCAGAACGCTGATCAAGCCCTTCTGCTCTTTTTTCATTATCTAATTACCTGGCAATCTAATATGACTAGAGCATTCCTTTGGACCCTAGAGAAAAAGAAAACTAACTCTGCTACTTGAGAAAAACATATTCAGCAACATAGTTATTGGAAATAAAACCATAAAGTTCAAAATGAAGTTGCCCCTTGGTAAAACCAGGAGTGGCTCACTATGTTTGCAGTAAATTGCAGGATGAAAAATGCTGATTCCTCACCAAAGACAACTTTATCTGAGGCCAGATCTTATACCTGGAAGAACATCGCTTAGAAAGTCACTGACAGGACTTTGCTCCTTTCTAGGCCCCAGCTTACCTTTCAGGACTACTGGGAGTAATAGTGTAACCAAGATGGTGCAGGTCGGAGGTCTGTAGGAAAGCAGGCCCCCCATCACAGCCCAAGTCCCAGCTCAACTGAGCAATCCTCACACAGTGACTTTTGTCCCCTTCCGTTTTTCTCAGCTTATTTTCCTCGTAAGTCTTATATCTAAAGTCATCTTATTTAACTTTCCTTTCAGTGTTTTCACACGCCTGCAGTCTGAGAATGGGCTGACTTTTGTATTGGTTCTTGCTGTATCCCCAGCATCTAGAACTGAGCCTGATAGACACAGATATCCAATAAATATCATTAATAAAGCGCCCTACTTTACAAACCTGAGAATTATCTCTGCATAGAATCTAAGTCTATTTTCAATGAGAAACATTTAAAAAATGCAATTACTAACCCTCTGTGCACTCTCATTGTTGGTTTCTCGTATTCCATAGTAGGCTGGTAAAGTTATAGTATTGATTTCATTTTATTCTATCTTTTTAGACATACTTTTATTGGTACATTTTAGGTGTACAATATAATGACATTCATCATTGGAGATATGCACCTCTACATACTCTCTTGGTTCTTATTTTTTCCCCCTTCCCCTGCCCTCCCTTCAACCCCTCCACCCCTCCCTATTTACAAAGACTTT